TGCCCAGCCTGCTGGCGTTGAGGACATCTGATGCCTCCTGTTCCATCACCTCGCTGGGGTTTGGTTTTTTTTAGCAGTGAGTTTCACTAAGTTACAGGTTATAATGAAGGATTTGGAGCCCGTGTGAGTCCATAAAATAAGTTAGAGGATTGTGACAGACATGCTGCTTTGCAGGGGCAAGAGAAGCCCTGGAACAGAAGCTCCTGTTTGCATCTGGAGCTGGGGCTGTGCTGGGGAGAGCCAAGTGATGCAGGGGAATGGACTCACTTCGTCCACATGAACGCATCCACCTTTGTCCATGTGGTGGGTACAGGCCATCGCCTTTGGGTACCAGTGTGTCAGGTCCCTGCTCAGCATCTCCCCTGTCCCTGCCCTTCCCCTCCTGCTGCTCAGGGCAGCGAGTGGTGCTTGCAGACCCTTTCCTGGCTCTTGGCTGTCTGCTTCCGCGGCAGCTCCAGTTACGGGCTCCCGACCCCTTTTATCAGTGGGGGGCAGTCGGGGGGACCGTGAGGGGAAGGTTTGGGGGTGCTGGATGGAGCGGAGGGGCCGCTCCGCCGCTAGATGCCGCTAGGTGCTGGGTCCCGCAGCGCGGTGCGTATCCCTGCTCCCTGCGCGGAGCATCCATGTTCTTTCCTCCATCCCCGGCGGCATCCCAGCCTTCTCCCCCTGCAATATCCATGTACTCTACCCTGGAGCAGCCCTGCTCCTATCCCAGCCTTTTTTCCCCCTGACGCATCCCTGCTTTTACCTCGGAGACTCCCCTGGGGCATCCGTCTTCTTTCCTCCCTTCTCTGGCAGCTTCCCAGCCTTCTCCCCTGCTTAAAGCATCCTTGCTGATTTCATGGGAGCATCCCAGCCTTTTTCTCCCCTGCTCCTTCCCTTTTCCCTTCAGTGCACAGAAGGTGCCCTGAGCAGGTACCGGTGCTCCATGACTGAGCAGAGCAAGAGCTGTAAATGGTCGGTGTTGGCTCAGAGGCCGGATGAGGGCAAAGGCAGCCCCGGGATCCAGAGGGCTCTTGGCTGCTCTGAGTGCCACGGGCTTCCTGCCTGGGAAAGCTGCTGGGAGGCTGGAGAAGGAGCTGGGAGATGATGGTGGGGCCAGGCTATAGCCTGGTGGTGCCTTTAGCTGTGTCTTTAAGCCGGGGTCTGTGCTTCCCATTGAGTCCTGGCAGGAGGGGCGAAACTGCTGCTTGGAGTGGGTCTGGTTTGTAAGGAAACACAAGCCCTGCTCCCTGTGCACCACTGGGATACAGGATTCTCTGCTCCAGGTTCCCTCTCGGCACCCCGAGTCCCTTCTGTGTGGGTGACAAGCACAGGGGACTCGCAGACAGCATCTCTTCCCACCTGCAACCAGTGCTGCAAATGGAAGCAGGGAGGCAGAGCCAGGAGACGTTATCTCACTCCTTTCTAATGTTTTGGATAGGAAACAGCCTTTCCTGTCTCCCAAGGCAAAAGGCAATTCGCATTTCAAGAGGTCAGGACTCAGCTATTTCTTTTCACCACCTGAAATCGGCTATTAAAAGCCTTTTGGGAACCCAAACAAGGCACACAGAACCATGGCTTCTGCAGGCTTGAAGTGCTCCCAGCATCTCTGCTGCTGTGGAGGATGCTGAATGGAGGTGGCACAGGCACCGCAAGCTCCTCTGTATGGGTATAGCTGGGCTAAGGGGTGCAGGGGTCTCCCCTGGGAATCAGGGGGGTTTGCCCCTGTCCCTATGGCTTTAAAGAAGGCATAGGGGTGAATATAACTCAATACCCACCTCCCTGCACCCTCAGCCTGGCCCTCCAACCCCATCCTGCCTAATGAAAAGCCTCTGGCAGCCCCGCTCTTGGCTTTGTGTTCTCAGCTGCTGCCTCTGCTGCTTATTTATATTGGAGTTTGCATTAGCAGATGCACTCTGGGATATTCAATTACCTATAAAGACCTGGAGCAAGGCAGCGCTGGAGCCATCGGGGGGGGGGGGGGGGGCTTTCTTCTTCCTCTCTTGGTTTTTGGATGTTTTGGGGGCTTTTGGGTTCTATTTTTAACTCGCTTTGAAGAGGCAGAGCAGTGGGGTTGGGTTTGAGCATCAGTAAACAGAAAGGGGGGTAAAAAAGGGGGGGATAAATAAATAATCCTGGTATGAAATGAAGCAGCTGGGTAGAAAAACGGATCTCCGGGAAGAAGGCAGCTCCCAGGGCTATTTATAGCTCTTTTGTTTCTCTCTCTGCCCCCCTCCTCTCCCCATCCAGGCTGTGGGTTCAGTGCGTGTCGTTCCCACTGCTCTCCATCACCTCTCGAGGGCCGGGTGATGCCTTTCCTTCTCCCTTGTTTATGCATCTGCATCTTCTTCCTAGCACGGGGAAGGGCAGGAGCGGTGATGCTGCCATCGCCCTCGGCTCCGGGTGGGAGAACAGGGGGGGCACGGGGCTGCAGGACCTATGGCAGCAGTGGGGTTGCCCCTTCCCTTTGCTCCTCGGCAGCGTTAGGGGCTGCTGTAACCCCCAAATCCCCCTTTGCCCACTGGCGCTGTGATCCCTGCAGCTCCAGGGCACTTTGGTGCATCTTCATCCTTTGGGATGCTGCAGCAACTGGGGCTGGAGGAGCCTTTGGAGATCATCAGGTCCTTCTCCTCCCCACGGGCACCGTCCTTTTGGATTAGATGATGGCCAAAGGTCCCTTCCAACCCTAATGATGCTGTGGTTCTGATCCTTCCTCAACCCATCCCAGCAGAGCTTTCCTCTGCTGCCCTCAAAGGCATCCCTCTGAGCCCGTATCCCTTGGCCCCAGATCTCCCATCACATCCCTCCTGGATGGTGCTGCTGCTCCAAGCCCCTTCTCCCCACACCCCCCAGTGAACATCCACGTGGGCTCCCATCTTTGTGCCTTTAGGGCCGAAATACATAATTCCTTTATTATTCAATTAGGAATTTAACTCACAATCAGGTGATCGCTTTAAGAGGATTTCCTATAAGGCAGGATTTGCATAACTGGGCTATGAGTAATATATTCCCTTAACTGGTTTATTCCTTTATCAGATTTCTCCCCCCCCTTCCTAAGCACTTTAATGCATTTACTTGCCCATTGTCGACACTTCTTCATGCTCTTCCTCCCTCCCCAAGCTTATGTAAATCCTCTGTAAGGCGTTTAATGCACCGTGTGTGTCAATAGCACCGAGATGCTCACGACAGCATTAAGCTTCATGCATGTCCCCACTGATTAAGAGGGGTGGTGGGGCCAGCCCCCCTTTCAGCCCTCGCTATGGGGCCAGTGAAGGGAGTTGCGTTTGTCTAGAGAAAAGGCTGGAGCTGAAAGTAGCTCTTTTCTTTCGCAGGGCAGGATGTGAATAGGGAGCTGTGGGGCTGGCCTGTCTGCTGCTGTTTGCTGCTCTGCCACTCAGCTTTTGGGGTGAGGGAGGGGTGAGAGTGATGCGATGGAAGTGATGGAAGAGGAGAGGGATGAAATAACACACAAATCAATGCAAGCATCGATTTGCTTGCTGTCTTCTGGGTCTTCTTTTAGAGGGAGTTAACAGCCTTTATGGCCAGAGGGGCTAAATGTACCCATTGGGTAGGGGCATTGCCTCCGGATGATGCATTTACACTGTTCACCATAGAATCATAGACTGGTTTGGGTTGGAAAGGACCTGAAGATCATCCAGTTCCAGCCTTGGTGCAGTGTTCACTCTGAAACCCACAGGCAGGCTTGGGCACTGGGAAGAGGGAAGCAGAGGGATAAGGGCAGCACAAGGGGCTGCATTGCCTCTAACTTGGGCTTTCCCTGTTTCCCCATCACCAGAGGGGCTCAGGCCCAAGGGTTTCTGTCACCTTTACCTATCTCCAAAGGAAGAGCTCTTCTCCCAGCCTGGGTCTCTAAAAGCCGGGTGAGTGGGAGCCGAACCAGCCCTTCCCTGCCCTTGTTCCCTCTGCACCCGCCGCTGATTGTCTCCTCTTCCATCCCATCCCGTGCATGCAGCAATTATGCAAAGCTGCAATCAAGGAGCTGAATTAGCAGCTCCTCTTGGATTAATTAATGAGGGATGCAAATCCCTTCCAGCACAGAAGGGAAGGGGGGACATGCAAAGGTTGTGGCACCCTCTATGGGTCTGCCCCGCTCTCCCAGGTTGGTTTAACCTATTTGGGGACACCCACGTACCAGGATATCCACATGGAAGAGGTTGCTCCATGGCCTTGGGATGAGAGCTGGGTGCCCCAAAGCTGATGCTCCCCAGAGCATTTAAACCCAGTACTTTGGGCCGAGAGCAATCCATCCTCCCATCCCAGTCCTGTTGGAAAGCTTGAGGGAAACTCCGTTAATCCCCCCGGATTACCCGTGCCGTGCTCCCGCCAGCACCGGGGATTTCTGTTCGCCTCCAATCGGATTGTGACAAACCCTCTGCTTGCGTTGAGCAAATTCCCTGCCTGCTCCTTGCAGGCCCCCCGATAATCCCCCAAGTGTGACTGCAGCCAAGAGACAACATCCCTGATTAATCCCTGCTGTATCCATGCAAAGCCGGTGCTGCTGAGGATGCTCCCGCTGCCGGCACTTGCACGCTCGGCTGGCACTGGGAGAGACCCCAAGGGAAGGATGTGAAGGCTGCAATGCTATTTAACGGAGCTTTTCCAAGAGGGGGGTGCAGGCTTGGGAATGGTGTCCCATTCCTATGAAGTGGGAAAGACGGATGTGCAGGGTGGTTGGGAGGGTTTGGATGTTTCATCCCTATGGCTCTTCCCAGTCCTAGGTAGTGTCACCCACCCCGGCTGGTCCAGAGGGGACATGAAGTTGGGCACAGGATGCCCAGGATGAGCACGGTTTGGATCAGGAGCTGCTTTGTCACTCCTTAACCAAGGGATGGACCATTGCTGTGCCCATATGGATGGGGATAACGGAGACGGCCACTTCCTGTGGTACCCAAGGGTTTAAAGCCCAAGGGCGGGGGTGGGTGGTGTTTGGGCAGTGGGGTGGGATGCAGCACCTGAAAGGTCTCTCCTTCCTCTCACCTCCACAGCAGCACTGATTAATGAAGCTGGAAGGGCAAGAGAAAGCTGCAGCACAGAGGATTGCTGGAGCCCATCCTAATCCAGCATCTCCAAGCCAAATGAGCCTGCAGCGTCTTATTCCACCCTGTGGGATTAATCAGTGCTCGACCAGGCTCCAGGCAAGCGAGGTGAGGCTCTGAATAGCAAGGACCCGTGGTGAGGTGGCTGCAGGGTGCTTGTTGGTTCACAGAGCGGAGCAAATCCCTCCTTGTATCCCAGCAAATGCTTCTGGGATGTAACTGCTCAAGCCAGGAGCTGGGAAAGGCAGGGAAAGGGGAGAAGGCAAAAATGCCTCTAAGAAGCTGGGGTGTGGGTGCAGGGATGCTCTGTGGCCCCTGGTTTTGGATGTAGGGTGCAGGGGAAGGCTCCAGGATGGGGATGGGTGCATGGGATGGGGTCTCTGGCCAGCTTTGCCCCATTGCACTCGGAGCATTGTGCCTGGCAGGCTTTCCTGGCTGCCAAAGTGGGTCAAGCAGAAACCCAAGGAGCATCCAAGCTCCCCAGCCTTGCGCCAGCTCCATCAGGGCTGAATTATTCAGGGCCAGCTTAAAAAATGGAAGAGCTCAGCCCACGGGATCCCCCTATGGCTCCATAGGGAAGGGGCAGCTCAACCTGCCTGTGCGCAGAGTGAATGGTGTCTGGTGGGGCTGGAACTGCCCTTAGGGATATGGAAGCAGAGAGGAAAGGACTCTGAGCTCTCCCTTATGGACTCATCTCCCTGTGGTCCCCTATAGCCCTCCAAGCCATAGAAGCTTCTTAGGGTACCCCAACACAGCTCTGTTGCACCCATAGCACAAAGTGCACCCCATTGTCCCCCAAAATAGGGATGAGGAGGTCGTGATTTTAGACAGGATGGTGGAACTCAGGAGCTTGTTCTTTGCCGTAGAGTGTTCGCTTGCGGCATCTCCCCTGCGGCTCAGCCAGCACCAAATGCATTTGGGAGCTGAGATGCTCTCCTGAGCTCAGTCGCTTTTAAAGGACCCCCCCCTCCAGCTCCATACCTGGGGCTTCGGGATGGGGAGAACCGGCTCCTGGGGAGAATCCCTGCGGAAGGCAGTGAGTAATGCTGCCTGGCAAGCAGCAGGGCCTCAGCGGTGAGCCGTGAAAAGGCGAGAGCACAGATGCTTCATCTCATCCTGCTCTTTTAGTGCAGCTCTCGCGCTGTCTGGGTACCGAATAGGCTGGCACCCCCACCACAGTCACCCCCTTTTCGTAAGCCTCTTAACCCTGGAGGGGGATGATGGGGTCTGGTATAGGGTGAGGGGACCTACCCCAAAAGGAGTGCAGCGCTTTGGGGTTTTACTATGACTCTACTGAATGAGAGCTGAACAAAACCAGCTGAATTCCGCCTTGCCCTGGTGCACTGAGCTGTGCGAGTGCTCAGCCACGGGGCGGGGGGGGAGCAGTCGGGGTTGTTTTGAGCCGAATCCTGGAGAAAAAAGGATGGGAATTTCCACCCGGTTTCTTTGCTGCCTGCGATGGGTTTTGCAGGAGCCCCTTCGGGATCAGCCCCGCTCGCAGCCGGCTCCATCCCTCGTTTCCCATGCACTGATTTACACAACGCAGCCCGCACTGCCTGCGGGGACGTTGCCATCTCCAGCCCCGGCGCGCTGCAGCCCCAGTGCCTGAGCAGGGACGGTGCCTCCTGCCCGCTGCCGCCCTCCAGGTGAGCAGAACCCGGCAGGAGCTGGTCCTGGGGACCCTCACCCAGCAAGGTGAGAGGGGGAACCTGTCCTGTGTCCCCCCCTCCCAGTCCCTTGCTGCTCCAGTGGGAAAACCCAGGAGCATCCAGTCCCTGTGATGCTACCGACAGCCTCGGCCAGCTCACCCAGCAGGAGGGATGGGGACACCCATGGTGTCCCTGCCTGGAGCATCCTCCCTGAGGACACACATCTTCTCTCCTGGTCCCCACTGCCCCACGCTGTTGGTTCCCTCCCTCCTCTGCTTCCACCCCCTGGTTGGTTATGGTGGGGAGCAGAGGTACCCCACTTGCTTCCCCAGAAAGCTGTGTTGTGCTAGCCAGAGCTTGCATCCATCCATCCATGCATCATCCTGTCCATCTAACTGTTCTTATTCTTCTGCCCATCTATCTATCTATCCACCTATCCATCCATCCATCCTACCTGTGCATCCCAGCCCATGCTGACCCCCGTCTTATGCCAAAACCATTTACAGCGCGGGAAGGACCCTATCCATGCAAACCTCCTATCCATAAGGAAATTCCCAGGGCTTTCTCCCTAACGAATCCACCTTTGTAATTAGCTCCAGGCTTCCAAAATCCCCCCACGGCTCCTACAGGCAGTGCCCATGGGCGGTACCTATAGACCGGGGTAGGGATGCGCTCTGCTCGTTGGAAAACCCCTTCCTGCGGCCCCCGGGGCTCGGGGCGGGGGGGGTCCGAGGGGCGGGGAGGAGCTGCGGGCGGAGGCAGGGCCGGGGCCGGCCCCGCTCCTCTCTCGCAGCCGCTGCACTCGCTGCCGGCTCCGGTATGGCGGGGCCGGGGCCCGGCGGCCGCCGGTGCTGAGCGGGGCGAGCGGAGCGGTGATGCCGCAGAGCCGCCGAGGCGGAGCCAGGTAAGAGCCAACGCGACCTGTTGGGCACGGCCGGGCCCGGGGTACGGGGTACGGGGCGGGGGGAAGCTGCATCCCCCAGCCCCATGGACCATCCATCATCCCCTGCCGGCTTCGGGCATCCTCCCCGGGCGCGGTCGGACACCGGCTCCGTCCATCGCGGAGCGTTTCCTTCATCCCGAGGATGCGGGATGCGGAATTCCTGCTCCTCGTTGCAACTTCCCTGCTTGCAAGATGTCGGGGGACCCTTTTGATGGAGCGAAAATCGCCTCTCTGCCCTGATGGGGGGGTGTGGGGTGTGTGTACACTGACACCGGGGTACAGCAGGGATAGGGACGTTGCTCTGTCCTGTCCCCGGGTGAGATCTCCCATCCCTGGTCGTGATGGAGAACCCCTTCTCTTCCCACCTTGGGTACAGAGGGGCAGCAGGGCCCAAGACCCATGGAGACGGGTTTAAATCCAAAGGGAGGGGAAAATCCGCTTTACAACAGCGTAGGGATGCTCAGAGCAAGGGAGGCAGACCTGACCCAGCACCACCGCTGTGCAGCGCATCCTGCTCCGCTCCTGGCCCCAAGAAGTTTGGGCCACAGTAGGTACAGGGTGTTTCCAGGCAGCATGTTCTCCAGCTGGGATCTCTGCTGTGGAAAAAGCCTTCAACAGGCTCTCCCGGCATCCCGGGGGATGCTTCCCATGGCGTTTCATTCCCTGGGGTAGCAGCAGGCAGAGGCAGGTGGGAATCACAACCACCTCCTCTATGAGCAGCGATGTCTCCAGCCAAAATCTGCCCCACGGGGGATGCTCTGTGCATGATGCTCTGGGATGGGATGGGATGGGATGGGATGGGGGGGTCTCGGGTGCATCCTGGCCCCATCCAGGCCCCCACCGGCACTGTGGCCTCCACACATCCTCGGGGATGTGGCAGCGCCGCACAGTGAGCGGATCCGTTTCGGGGTCTGGAGCGGTGCTTGCAGGGTCGGTGGGTACCACATCTGACATCCACCCCAGGGTCCCCCCCTATCTAACAAACAGCCAAGGGAGATGCTGGCAACACTCCCCCTGGTCCTGCAAACGCCACGGCTGGCAGGAGAGCAGAGAAATCACTGCCATTGATTTTGCCTCCCTCAAGCTGCTGTCTTGGAGGAGATTTATCGTGTGTGCAGCATCACCCCCCCGCCTTCCCCGGCCGGGTGGGCTGCGGGAGCAGGGGCAGGCTGGCATCTAGCGACTGGTACTGGTAAGGCAGAGCAGACCCCAGGGCCTGGGCTTGGTCCCAAAGGGATGAACCGAGGTCTGGGAGGCTGATGCTGGAGCATCACATTGGGGAGCTCATTTTGGGCTGTGTTTGATGTGGATCCTCTCAGGTTCCTGTGGTCTCCCTGGCAGCTGTCTCCTTGCTGTGCCATGGTCCCTTGGAGAAGATATGGAATATTCACCTTACAAGAAAGGTCCCATCCCATCTTTTCTCCCTGGAAAGGCTGCAGAAATGCATTTGCTGAGGCAAATGTCTCTGCCCCAGCCCCAGGCAGCAGAAAAGGGGCATAAACCAGAGGAAGCGTGTGCTGCTTGCACGGAGCAAGAACGTCCCGAGGATCTTCCTCAGCATCCACCCTCCAGGAATGCTTTTCCCCCATTAATTTCTCTCATTGCTTTTGGAAATGGCACCAGTGTTTGGCACTGGGAGCATCCCGGTGGATCTCTTCACTCACCTTTCAAATCCCTGCCCAGTGGGTCCAAGACCTCCCTTTTCCTTAGGGAAAGCATCTTTCCAGGTGGATGAAGCCCACAGGATCTGCAGCGGTCCAGCGGGGTGGTGAAGGCTCAGGGTCACCCATCCCTTGTCACCGCTCTCCCCCTCAGGTTGCCCATGATGGGCTCAGTGGGATCCGAGCGCTTGAAGGAGCTGAGCCCAGCGGGAACGCCGGAGGGGAACGTGGTGATGAGCTTCAGCTTTGACAGCTACCAGCTGGAGGAGGACGAGCTGCAGCGGGGCAGCCAGGCCAAGGGCGTCCTCACCTTCATGGAGCCGGGTGAGGGCAGGCACAGCCAGGAGATGGGTTCCTTGCTGCATTCCCATCCATTTAGGAGCCTCCTGGGATGGGTTGAATAGCCACAAATGGCCCAAAATGCACAAAATGACCTAAACGGGCATTTTTTTTTTGGCAACCTGTTTGTGCCCATGTGAAATACATTCATTTAGGGAAGGAGTTTCCCTGTCCTGGGCCCGTTTCTTTGTGCGATGCTGCTCTGTGGATGTGACAGCACCGTCAAGGCTGGGCTCTGCTGGAGGTCCTGGGGGGGGGCAGCAGTGCCGCTGTCACGTCTCTTCTTTTCCTCTTTCTTTCCCTTTCTGGGGCAGTTTCTGAGGATCCCGAGCCGCAGGATCGATACCACGGGATTTACTTTGCCATGCTGCTGGCCGGGGTGGGATTTCTCCTGCCGTACAACAGCTTTATCACCGACGTGGACTACCTACACCATAAATACCCAGGTAGGTCTCCAGGAGCACTTCCCCAGCACCCCAAAACTGGGAATAACTTGGCGCTGCTTCCACAGGAGCCGGACCCATCCGTTCCCCATCATCTGCCTCTCCACAGGGACCTCCATCGTCTTCGACATGAGCCTCACCTACATCCTGGTGGCCTTGGTGGCCGTCATCCTCAACAACGCACTGGTGGAGCTGCTGAGCTTGCACACCCGGATCTCTGTGGGTGAGTGGGGGGTCCCTGTGCCCCTCGGCACAGCCCCACGCTGTGCCTCCCATCCCTCACCTCCATCTCCCACCCGCAGGCTATCTCTTCGCCCTGGGGCCACTGCTCTTTGTCAGCATCTGCGACGTGTGGCTGGAGCTCTTCAGCCGCAGGCAAGCCTATGCCATCAACCTGGTGGCTGTCGGGGTGGTGGCCTTTGGCTGCACAGGTATGTGGGACACTGGTGGTGTCCTTCAGATAGCGGTGGGAGAGCAGCCCCATCCCCAAGAGCCATGGTACCCTGGGACACTGTGATCACTATCACTGTAAGATGATACTCAAGTCCCTGCTCCATCCCCTCCACCTCTGTCCAGGGCCACCAGCACCAAACTCTGCACTGGTTCCCAACACTGATCCCGGCCACTACGATGGCTTTGAAACCATTTGGGCCACTATGGTGGCTTCCCAAGGCCCTGCTCCTGGTGGGGCATTCAAGGGCGGGCAAAAAGCCCCCTTCTCTGGGGCAAGGATGCTTTGGGAAGGAGGCAGCTCTCAGGTGGTTAGCACATGGGTTTCTTCCCTCTCCCTGGCCTTTCGGCTGCTGCAATAAACCCTCCTTGTCCTCTCTGTGCATCTCTCCTGAAGTGCAGCAATCCAGCTTCTACGGCTACACGGGGCTGCTGCCCAAGCGCTACACGCAGGGGGTGATGACGGGAGAGAGTAAGTATCCCATGTCCACATCCATTTGGGATTGCTTTGGGGGGGACCCTCCTGCTGCCCCAGTGACTCAAACCCACTGTCCCCAGCACAGCCCAAGCATGGTTGCCAACAGATCAGGGTCCCCCACAGCAAACTGAGGTGTTTAACGGTGCTTAAATCATTGGCACTGCCACACCGAGCTCACCATATCACCACTGGTGGCTATCCCACACATAGAGCATCACACGCATGCAGGAGGGAGCTGATGGGTGTCCCTGAGCCCACGGCTCTCCCCTGCCACCAGGCACCGCCGGGGTCATCATCTCGCTCAGCCGCATCTTCACCAAGCTGCTGCTGTCAGACGAGAAGGAGAACACGGTCATCTTCTTCTTCATCTCCATCGGCATGGAGCTGACGTGCTTCATCCTCCACCTCCTCGTCAAGCGCACCCGCTTCGTCCGCTACTACACCTCCTGCTCCCGCAAGGGTCTCCCCGAGGCAAGAGGCGCCGGTGACCACGGCACGGGCTACCGCGTCCACCACGATGTCACCGCGGAGGACATCCGCTTCGTAAGCCAACAGTGGGCTCCCCCGCTGGCCCCCGGGGTCCCGTTGGAGCTCAGCACTGGTGTCCCCTCTCCCCCCATCCAGGAGAACAGGCAGCGGGGGCAGCCCAGTCCCCCTCGGGGCAGCCCGGGCCATGAGGCTGAGCTGGCTGGAAGCGGCACCTACATGCGCTTCGATGTCCCTCAGCCCAAAATCAAGAGGAGCTGGCCCAGCTTCAGAGGTGGGTGATGGGTTTGGGGGCAAGCAGTGCCAATGGGGTGGGTTTACAGTATTTTGCAGGGGAGAATGAGCAATTGGTGGTGCAGAGAGTTGGGGAACGGTCATCCCATTCTCGATGCCCAAACCCATGGGGTAATCTCATCTTTGGATGAGGTTAGAGAGCTACCAACTGCTTGGGGTTCAGGCAAGACCCCTCTGAGGCTCTGCAAAGGAGGAAAAGTGCAGGTTTTGGCTGAGCTGTGCTGCCCATCCCTGCCAGACATGCTGCTCTACCGCTACGTCGTGTCCCGCCTCATCTGGGCCTACATGCTGTCCATCGCCATGACCTACTTCATCACACTGTGCCTCTTTCCCGGGCTGGAGTCGGAGATCCACAACTGCACGCTGGGGGAATGGCTCCCCATCCTCATCATGGCCATCTTCAACCTCTCCGACTTCGTGGGCAAGGTAGGAGAGAGGCCAACACCAATGCAATGGGCTCCTCTTGTTGTGTCCTCTTCCAACGCCGCTTGGCTCCACCAAGGGTCATTTCCACCCCATGCTGCCCCATTTTGGGCACCACGTTGCCCTCCCCAGCCTGCTCACCATCCCCATGGTCTCTGTCCCTTGCTGCAGATCCTGGCTGCCCTGCCCTATGACTGGAGAGGAACCCACCTCCTCGTCTATTCCTGCCTCCGCGTGGTCTTCATCCCCCTCTTCATCATGTGTGTCTACCCCAATGGAAAGCCCACCTTTGGCCACCCTGCCTGGCCCTGCATCTTCTCCCTCCTGATGGGCATCACCAATGGCTACTTCGGCAGCGTTCCCATGATCCTGGCTGCTGGCAAAGTGAGCCCGGAGCAGCGGGAGCTGGCAGGTAAGACCGAGCCCTCTTGGGAATCCCATGTGGGGTGTCCAGAGCACCCTGACACCCTGTGTCCCTTCCCACAGGGAACACCATGACCGTGTCCTACATGACAGGCTTGACGCTGGGCTCAGCTGTGGCCTATTTTGCCTACAGCCTCACCAGTACATCCCACAGCAGCTGTTTCTACACCGAGACCTCCAACAGCTCCTTTACATTGGGGTACTGAGCCCCATGGCAGGGTGACGGGGACACGATGGGACCTATTCCCACCATGGTCCCCACTGCCCCGCCTGGTCCATGTCCCTCCATGGGGAGGGAAGCTGGAGCCAGAAAGTTGTCCCAAGGAGGACAGGGACCAGAATCCTGTTGGCATGGAGCTGTGGCATCCAAAATGGCCCATGCTGTTCAGGGCCACCTTTTAGGGTGACACTGCTCTTGGGGGGCTCCCCATCAGTGATAGGCAAGGGGGTGTCTTCTGAGCCAAGCCATTGCCAAGAGGAAGAAAAGACTGCCAGATGCCAAAGGGAACAGGACCAGCACTGGGGAGGAGGGTGATGACGGGCTGGTGAGGAAACGGAGGAGCAAGAGAGGAAGGAAAAGCTCCTTCAGTCCCCAATGGCTTTTGGAAGGTGGGTCTCAGCTTTCACTGATGGTACTGCAGGTTTTCACCAATAGCTTGAAATCACAATCCCTCCCCGGATGTGCCAATTGCTGTGTTAAAAACCCAACTCACAAAACCACCTTTTTTTGGGTTATGTTTTGATTTTCCCATCCCCCCAAACTCTGAGAGAGGCAGGGTCTTGTCTTCCCCTGCCCCACTGCAATGGGGCAGAGGTGGGTCTCAATGCCACAGCACTGCAGATGCCACTGCTGAGCTTTCAGGGCTTAGTGCAAGGGCCGCAAGTAAAGCTGATGCTGTATCGAATGTCTTTGCCATGATGCCCAACTTGGCTGAGCTAGCCAACACATACGTGGGGATGCCTGCTCCAGGCCTGTGGGGTCTTGGGGTACCCCTTGTGCTGCTCCCCATCTCCCGGGTCCCCTCTGTCACCTGGGGCAGCTGGACTTGCCACCAGGTCCCATCGAAGTGCTGCAGAAGGCAGCAGCAAGCAGGAATGGGCTGAGCAGAGCAGAAACCAGCTGGAGAAGGTGCCAACACCAGAGGCTGATGCTTTTTGGGACCGGCAGCACCTCACTGTGCCAGGAGTCGGTGGTGCCACCTCCTAAGAAAGCAAAGCCAAGGGATGGAGAAGGCAGCGAGCACCAGGCTTGGCACCATGAACACATCAGGGTCTCACCATGCCAAGCCCCAACAGAATGAGCAGATTCAGTGTTTCACCCTCAAAACATCACTCCTGCAGGGCTCAGGGTGCAGGAGTGTGGTCACAGCACTCGCGCCCCTCCTGCCCCACAGGACCTGTGTGTCAGGGTATATCCTGTCCATCAGAGGGATGGGGTCTCCCCAGAGCTGAGCCAAAAGGCGACCATCACCCCCAAGGGGAGGCAAAACCCGCCTGTTAGAAGTGAGACAAAGAACAGATGCTTCGTGGGGCTGCTTTTTTTGGTTGTGGTTTTTTTGTTTTTTTTCAATTAATTTTCTTTTTTTTGTTATTTTTTTATGAAAAAAAGAAAAGATCACACGGAGTTCTCCAACAAACAGAATGCCAAAAAAATCGTTTTAAACAACAACAACAACAAAAAAAAAAACAACATAAAACAAAGAAAGACAAAAACCTGGCTCTCCTTTCCTCTCGATTGTCTGAAATATCCTTGTGTTCCATAGAAGGCAGTGGGTTTTAAGTGCTTTCTATTTAACATTAGCATAAAATCTCTTATTTCTCTCTCTCGCGCGCGCTCTCTCTCGCTCTTTAAAATAGGCTCACACAATTTGCTTCTACAAGTACAGTACACGTTGAGCGGGGGGGGGTGGGGGGGTGGGTGTGATGTGTGCCTGTTCCCAGATCATTTACAATCACAATCCAACAGGAAATAAAAAATAAGATTCTGAAGGTCAGACTGTGTTCCTTTCTCTCGCCGTGGAGTTGGGCCTTGAGTTGGGGTTTTGTTGTTATCGTCGTTGTTGTTGCCTTGGTTTCTTTTTTCTTCCTTTTTTTTTTTATAATTCCATAATTTTTGTTTTCACAGTTTTAAAAAGTTTATATTTATATTTATATATATATATTTATATTTATAATTAAAAAGTTGAATCCATTTAAAGTCTTATAATACAGGAGGGGCTTAACGAGTCTTTCGGTACATTAAAACTGTACAGGTTAGAACCGTCGCTACGCGCCACGGCGCCGGCGGCCCGGGCTGGAGATGGTACGAGCTCAGCACCATGTGATTTGTTTTAAGGACGAGGGGTAACGTTGCAGGGGTGACCCTCTCCCCCCCTTCCCCCAAGCCCTGGCCTCCAGTCTCCAGTACCAGGGTGGAGAGTTTTCCATCTGTCCTTGTCCTAAACGTCTCCCCACCGGAGCCCGGGCCGGGCCCCGCTCCACGTCCTGGCAATGTGTAGTGCGAGTCGGTGGTTGCAAAGATCAGTGCGTCTCTTGGAGTTGTGTTTTTAAGTGCAAGGATGTTCCGTCGTCGCGTGGTTCTCCTCCAGTTGTCCCAACCCTGGTGATGCCGAAGGTCTGGGATGCGCCCAGCGGGAGCGAGGCAGCGGGTCAGCTCTGCAGAGGTGATGGTGGTGGTGGTGGCTCTCCTGGAGCCGTGGGGAGGTTGGACGGCTGGATGGAGTGAGCTGGATGGTCCCATCCTGAGCCCAGGGTGGCAGCGGGGCTCTGGCTGTGGCAATGCCACAGGTGGGGATGGTCAGGCTTCACACTATCCTCATTCCCTTCAAATGGTGAGCAAGGGCCTTCCAGCAGCTCCACATCTCTGCTCAGGCAAGGCATAGGGCATAAAGCTGGGTGAGGGATGCCAAAATCCAATGGTCTCCTGCACTCCAAGCACCAAGCAGCAGCTTTTCCCAGTGATATCCTGCCCTCCTTCACTGCATGCTCCAAGATGAGTTCTTTGTTCACCAAGCGTCAACCCCTCGCCATGCACCTGCTCCCCCAGTGCCTTTTCCAGGGCAGGAGGGACACAGAATGACAGGGGAAGTAGGTCCAGACTGTTTGTTCAAGGCAGTGGGAAGGCAGCAATCCAGACTGGATATTGGCTCGTCTTCCCAGCCTTCCTCTTCTGCCATCTCTATGCTGGGGAATCTCTGCCCCTTCGTGCTCCGTGTTGCTGGGGCCTCCAGGGGAAGGGAACTGCAAAAAGGCGCCGAGAGGATCGAGATGAGGCGCTGAGAGAGACTCATCTCCTTTCTCTTTCACCCTGTCCTTCCTAAAGGGTCATGCGGAACTAAGCAGGAAAAGGGAATATAAGGACGGAGAGGAGCGTCTGCAGAAGGCTGTCAGGTGTCCTTCCACATACAGGCGGCTTCCGAGTTACCGATGGGGGCAAATGACACAAAAGGGATCCCTCCTGCTGGGGGGGGGGGTCCCGCTGGTGAAATGATCACGAGACCCATGTGCTTTCCTGGACCAAAAGGAGGAAGGAAGAAGTTGGTCAAGTGTCACCTTACTTAAAGCCACTTCCAGAAGAGCCTGGGGCTTCAAACGCCACCACCTCCCAAGAGCATCTTCCTCAAGTCCTGAAACTGCTTCCCCAACCCCTTTCCTTCAGCCCTCTCCTTCCTCCTCCTGTCTCTCGCGCTCTCCTGTCCGTAGTGTGACACAGAATTCATGAGCATTGAAAGAAACAATCATGTGGTCTGAACAGGCACGTCCTCAGGTTTGTCCCGTCCCTTCCCAGGGGGTGGCACGTGTCCCCTGGGCGGTCAGCAGATGACAGGGACCCCATCGGTGTTGAAGATCATGCCCGTAGTGGGCTCGTAGGTCCCTGCAAGGTAGTAGAGGTCCTCACTGTCTTGGTATTTCTTTGTCTTTAGCATCTGCTCATATTGATCCAGGCCAACAACAAGACACTTGTGTGAGATGGTCTGGACATCGTTTTCATCCACGTGGGAGGACTGGTAGAGGGCTCGCTGTGTAGCAGGAAGGAGGGAGATGGAAAGAAAAGCAGCAATTAGATCTCACAGCATTCACAACATCACCTTCAACATGCAGGGAAAACATCCATCATGACTGGCTAGGAATTGTGCTCATACTCGAGCAGAACTCCTTATTCATCTCCACTCCCAGCCCCAGGGAGGGACACTGGGAATCTGCACGGGCCCATGGGCACAGTGGACACAATCCACCCAGCAAACTAAACCTGAGCCCTCCTTGCTTTCACTCAGCTCCCACTGATGAGAATGCCGTGTCTGCTGAGCACACAGACAGGGGAATACAGAAGCCAGGAGTCTGTCATCCTCAATTCAGAGATGGGAGCTGGATACCACCCCCCTGTTCCTCCCAGCCCCCAGCACATGCAGCTAATCCCGCCCTCCCAAAACACCCATCCAAAATCCTGGACACTGAGGACTCAGCAGCTGAGACAAAAAGTAAGAGCCAGAGAATCTCAGGGGGCACCTCCCCAGCAGCATTTGTTACTAAGTCCCCAGCATCCCTTCCCAACCTCACCAACCTCCATAAAGTCCTTCCTCTGGCTGGATGCCTGCAAAGCTGTGGACAGACTCCTGCCCGACTTCTGATCCCAGCGCTGTGTCCAGGAGGAGGAGAAAGCAGAAATGAAAAGCAGGTGAGTGAGTTGGGTTTTCCATGCTATTACCTCCTACCACCACAGGGTACCTTTAAAGTCTCAACCTCTGTCCCCAGCCACTGGTAATAAATACTAAGAGCCTACTGTAAATCACACTCTGCATGTGTGCAAGACTGTCACTGAGCACCAGGCCAGTAGTTCTTACACTACAGGAGAACTCAATCTGGCTCTTGACACTCTTTTACTCTTTCTGGATCAACACAAAAGTCTTTATTTCCAACAAAAGTCTTTTCCTAGTGTGATAAACCCACCCTTCCCCTGTTCAAGAGGTAAACATCAGGCTCTTCCACACCACAGGCAGCCCTCAAAACATGAATCAGTGAGGAAACATTATGGTACCAGTAACTGGGCCATGGATGCCTCCTCATCCTTGGAATCCAGAGGAAACAAGCAGCTTTGCAGAGCTCTCTCAGCACAGGACACCAGCCTACCTTGCCTTCATTGAGTTTCTTCCCAGGGTTGGTTTCTTCTGGATGATAGAACCACTTGACTCGGACCACCATGTTGTTCCCCCACGACTCCCACATGCTCTGGATCCGGCCGATGTAGGGCAGGTTGGGGCGGCCGGCTGAGAGGAACACCGCACAGTCTCCAATGCGGATGATCTCCTTGCCCCGGACGATGGCCTTGTAGAAGAGCTTCCTGGCCTTCCCTTTCATTCCTCGTCTCTGCCAAGAGAGATTCACACAGGTGAGCAACCAGGGATTACCCTAGTTCTCCTTACTCACCACTGCTTGCCC